CCCAGGTCAATATCTTAGGCACAGAAGCCCTTCTTCAAGCTACCTATTCCTAAAAGTGGTTCTGCTCTAAGCCTGCTGTGCTGGACAGTTGGAATTTTCTTCTGCAAGGGGACAACCCAAAGAGGTTGGTCTTGAAAGCTGCAGTTAAAAAAATGAGTGCTGCATTTGGAAAGGCTGAAGCTTAGGGTTAGGGCTGCCTGGAGCAATGACCAGCCTTTGATCATCCAGTTTTCCATCACAATGGTCACACCCTTCTGCTTTCCCACTCCCACTCCACCCATATTGAGACCCAATATGAAAGGTTGGCATTTCTGTTTATGTCGCAACTGGGCTGCTTGGAAAGGAAAAATGCACCCGCTGAAATCCTCCGTGGTCCAAAGGAGAGCCACTTGAGAAAATGGATCTGTTGGGGAGCAAGCGTCCACTTGTTCAGCTTCGGCAAGAGAGGAAACGTGGATCTTTTGTAAGCTGGTAGCGTGAATAAGGCGCAGCTTACGAAGAGAGGTGCTGATTGAGTGAAAAGCACTGGAGAGAAATAAAGGTGACCCAGGGCAGGATCGGATTTCTAATCTGTGGCGTGCTTTGTGCTCTCTGAGCTTGGCTGCTTTCTTGCAGATGTTTTGTTAGCCAACTAGGTGAGCACTGCTAGCACTGATGATGTTACATAGCTGGGTAATGAAACGTCTGCAAGATACCAGTCAAGCTCGGAGAGCCCCAAGGACCCCACAGTCCTCCTCCTTCATCCTGCAAATCCTGCTCCCTTCTAGCACGGATAATGGTACCTAGTTAACAGAATGACAGAGTTGAAAGGGACCTTGGAGGTCTGTTACTTCAACCTCCTGCTCACAGCAGACCCTAGACCAGGAGTAGGGAATCTTGGCTCTTTTATGACTTGTGGACTGACTCAGGAATTCTGGGCATTGAAGTCCACAAGTCATAAAAGAGCCAAGGTTCCCTACCCCTGCCCTAGACCATTCCAGACAAGTGGCTGTCCGATCTGTTCTTGAAAACCTCCAGAGATGGAGCACCCACAACTTCTGGAGCTTTCTGGCAATGAAACATCTACAAGAAAACAATCAAGCTCAGAGAGCGCCAAGCAACCCACAGTTCAACTGAGCCACAAATATTCTCCTCTATTGGACCCCTAATCACTGATCACCCTGCTCTGACGTCAAGGAGACATCTCGAGATCACTGCTCATGGTGGACCTTTCAAATGAGGCCCGTCTCACTCCTCCATTCCTTGAAATGACCCAACCGCCCTGTGGCTAACACTGATTTTCACAAAGTCCAGCAGTCTTAGAGTTTCTTGCAGCACAAAAGTGGGTGGGTTGTAGAGTAATGGTCCTCCCCTTTGCCACCTGTATTTCATGGGATTTCATGATCTCCATTTTTCTCTCTCTGATGCATCTGTTCCTGCTTCCCTATTGCTGTCAATCCCTACGGGACTCAGTACCAGCTGTTTGGAGTTCCTCCTTCTCGGAACCAAACGTTCTCTGCAAAAGTTGCCAGAAATCTTTTCTTCCAAGAACTTGACAGCTTTGCAGAACTCTCGGAAGCTCAAACATCTCCCGCTTTGAATTCCTCTCATTTTTAAAAAAAAAAAAATTCCTAATCAGGCAATCCGAGAATCCTTTGCATTATACAGAGGTAAAGGAAAATTATCCCACTGCAACAAACATCTGCTGTATTTAAATTTGTAATTAAAATGGAATCAAGCATGCTAAAATAACCAGAGAGTTTCCATTTTGAGTTGCTGCTTCTTCTTTCTAACCCCAAAATTAATTAATTTGATTTTAACCTGCACATCTGGCAGGGATAGTGGGTTGCTATGGTGCTGCAAACAGGAGTTAACTTGACAACATTTGAAATGACTCTAATTTTGCCAAGAAGAGAAGAAAAGGTCAAGCAGGAGCCACTTTTAGCACGACCTTAGGGCCAATTTTATCTTAACCCTCATGAGTGCAAGTGGGACCTTCAGCCAGTTCTTCTATCTTTCATTTTGCTTCAGGATCATCCAGGAAATTCTCCCCCCCCTTCCCGAAGAAGCATGGAATACCTGCTATCTTAATATTCATGTTGTTATCAAGCAGGAGGTTCTCCGCTTTGAGGTCCCGGTGTACGATCTTCCGGCTGTGACAATATTCCACAGCCGAGAGGATCTGCCAGAATTTGCGCCTGGCATCCGTCTCGCTCAAACGTCCCCGATTGGCCAGGTAATCTGTGGAGAGATGAAATGCGAAAGGTGAACTTGCAGAGGAGGGGAGCTCAGGAGGGGCTTCTCCCCGGTCCCCGGTGGGTCCCTCCTCCCTCCCAAATTTGGAAGTCGGTCTCATAACGGAGAGCAGGAGAGGAGGATGCTGTTGCTGTGAGACTCCACAGCTAGGTGAACAAGCGCCTGCATTTGTATGCGCAACTGCCTGCTGGGCCTGATGAAAACAAGACAAAGGGAGCCGGCCAGTTCTTCCCTGGAAGAGGGAACCTCTCAGCCTTTCCTCCCAGGACGTTCTGTCCCGGCTCTTTGCAAGAACAAGGACTCTACAAGGATCGCTTGGAGGCCACCTGGAACTTCCTAGGTGTGCATGGGAACGTGTAAGGTGGGGTGACAGAGAGAGACAAAGGGAGAGGGAGGGAGGGAGGGAGGGAGAGAGACAGAGAGAGGAGGGAGGGAGAGAGGGGGAGAAGGGGGAGGGACAGAGAGAGGAGGGGGGAGAGAGAGGAAGGGAGAGAGGGAGAGAGGGGAAGAGGGAGACAGAGAGGAGGGGGAGGGAGGGAGAGAGGGAGAGAAAGAGAGGAGGGAGGGAGGGAGAGAGAGACCTCAATGCTTTCAGCCCTCCTTAATGCTGTAGGGGTTTTCCCAGGAAGTCAATCCAGGCTCAACCCAGCCATTAGCGTCTCTACCGAACCAAGAGGGCTTCTGCTGCAAGTGAAGCCAGGCCTTTTCTTCTGACTTTTTTGTTTTTCGTTTGTTTTGCAACCTTGGCACAGCAGCCAACTAAGGACCTGGCCGGCTGTCCTGGCCTTACCCTGCTGTACCTTCCTCCGGGTCTGTTCCATATTCTGACAGGGCAACTGTGTGCTTGGTGAAACCACAAACAGGAAGACGCATTTGACGCAAGAACGGAAGTCTTAAGGAAGAGCTTTGGTGTCTCTTTTCACATTTGGTTATAAGATTATTTTTCTAAACTGCGCTCCCCCCCCAAAAAAAGCCAAGTTTTAAGGTCTTTCTGGAACCCCAGGAGACCGGGAGACATGCCAGGCAAGGCCAGTTTTCTAGATCCCATTAAGATGCCCAGATGCACAGCGACCAAACGGCCTTTATTAGAAAGGTCAGTCTTTCATTTCAGAAAGCTGTCCTTTAGATTTATTTATTTTTCAAAAACTCACTTTTGCCCTTTATTTTGGGCCATTTGCAAATGGTACCACTTAATGCCTGCTCTTTCAAATTCTTGCAAAACATGTGAAAATGGAGTTGCCCTTTAAAAACTAAATTTGCATCATATGCCGTTTGATTTTTCAATGCCTTTTTATTAGAATAGAGCCTTTTGTAAAGTTTTTTCCTGGGGTTTGCCCTTGATTTTTTTTTTCTTGCAAAGTTCTAAATGTAAACAACTTAAAAAAAAATATCCTCTTTCAGATTTGCTCTTTATTTTTCCCAACAAAATAAGGTCATCTACTTAGGAGAGAATTGGAACACAAGACCCCGGCCCAAACAGGCCAGAAACAATAGGAAAACAGTATCTTTCAGGTGACTCTGTTGTAAAACCAAGAGCACAATCACACTGCACTTCTGTTCATCACACAGTTTCAGCAATACAGCTAGTCCTCAATTTACAACAGTTCATTTAGTGACCATTCAATGTTACAACGGCACTGAAAAATGTGACTTACGACCGTTTTCCACACTTACAACCATCCCCATGGTCACGTGATCAAAATTCAGACGCTCAGCAAGTGAGTCATATTTATGACGGTCGCGGCGTCCCAGAGGGTCACGGGATCCTCTTTTTGTGACCTTCTGACAAGCAAAGTCAACGAGGGAAGGCCAGCTTCACTTGCCAGGAGCGCCCAAGTGGCTTCACTAAAACCCACCGGGGGGGGGCTGCTGCCTCTTTAACAGGGGTCTTCAAACTTGGCCCTTTTATGACTTGCGGACTTCAACTCCCATAACTGGCTGAGGAATTCTGGCAGTTGAAGTCAGCAAGTCATAAAAGGGCCAAGTTTGAAGACTCCTGCTCTTTAAGATGGTTTATACCAGTGTTTCTCAACCTTGACCATTTTAAGGCATGTGGACTTCAACTCCCAGAATTCCACAGCCAGCAATGCTGGCTGTGGAATTCTGGGAGTTGAAGTCCACATGCCTTAAAATGGTCAAGGTTGAGAAACACTGGTTTATACAGACTGGGTGGATGCAATCTCCAAAGTTGAAAAAGTCATGACCTTCTATGGTTTTGTGTGTGTGTGTGTGTGCATGCGTGAGTGAGTGAGTTTCTTCAGAAGTGGACAATTAACACAGTTGCCTGGCAGCTCCACTGAGAAAAAAAGAAACGGCAGTGGGGAAATCCAGGTTTGTGTCCACAACATGCTGAGGAAAGAAAGGTCATTTCTAAGGCCCTTGAGAAAACACCGTGGATTATTTCAAATTGAATTGCTTTCGAAAGCAATTTTGAGAGAGAACGATTTGCAGAACGCACTTATAAAATGAAAAGGCACTTTGTTCTTTTCAAGCATACTTAATTAGCTAGGCGGGGGGGGGGGAAGAGAAATTGAAAGTCTTTTTTTTTTTTTTTTAAAGAAGGAATGGGGAAGGAGAGAAGAGAAATTGAAGGATTTTTTTTAAAAAAAAGATATATACAAAACAGGGCTAGGAAATTGAAACGGCACTCATGCCGATCATCGGCAAATTACGTTTTCCTTTCTGCACCAAACTGCAACTCCCCAGGAAGAGATCAAAGAGGCTGATTTTTTTCCCCCAGCATAAACAAAAGGAGATGATGTAACCATGGATGCCAGCCCCGCTTGCCTTTGCAATAATCTCACCGTCAGATCTGATCAGTGGTTTTACTTACAGATTTCAGTCAAACGGGTTATGCAATTGCCATACACCAAAGAAAGTTGGCCTAGAATTCTCCTGTGTCAATAGGGACAAGTTTGGGGCAACCCCCCCCCCCCCAAAAAAAACCCTCTAAACAGGCAGTCCTGTTGGGATAGGGATGATACAACGCTCCCCCATTTTATTTTGTATTCCTTCCGATGTTTGTTATTTATGTGATGCCTTGCAAAGTGACCTGTGTTGTGTTCGGTTTTGTACAAGGTGCAAAGGGTAAGGAAATCAGCTCTGAGCCAACTTCCCCAGTAAGAGGATCTTTAAGGGCTGAATTTGGTCCTTTTGGGGAAGTGGATTAACTCACCAGTGCAATGTTTTTTAACCTTAGCAGCTTGGAGACCGGTGGACTTCAACTCCCAGAATTCCCCAGCTATGCTGGCTGGGGAATTCTGGGAGTTGAAGTCTACCTGTCTTCAAGATGTCAAAGTTGGAAAACACTGAATTAGGTTATTTTTCTTGCTGTCTCCCATCCCGGCCATGCTTATTTCCTTTAAGAGAATAAAAACCAGCTTTAAAAGAGGACCAATATTATAAAGCAAATTTATGTACCTTGCTCCATAAGCCTTGCTTCATGCCTTACACAGGTGAATCCCCCCTGGTGAATGACTGGATCAGATAGGGTGGGTGGGCACACTCACAGGCCCTTCCCTTAAACGTTGCCACTTTATGTGATCCAAAGTCATGCCTTTTGTGTGTGTGTGTGTGTGTGTGTGTGATGGCCCCTAAAAACTTCATGGAACAGCTTTCTCCTTGAAGGTCGATGAATCTCTACCCTCCTAGCCTTCCAAAAAACATTTCGGACCTGGCTCCCTCCTGCCAACCCCTCAAGTGCTGGGGTGAAATGAGGTGGACGAGAAAGGATTTAACTATGGACTGGACAGGTAATCCTCGTTTAATGCCTATGCAACATTTGAAAACATTTGAAAACGCGACTTATGACTGGTCCTCAGACATACGACTGTTGCAGTGTTTCTATAGCCACAGGATCAAAATTTGGGCGCATGGCAACCAACATATATTGTTAAAATTGTGTGGATTCATTTCCCCATTTTTTTTAAAAAATAATGGTGATGATCATTAATGTTTTCCTAAGTTTGAAGAATCATCATCATCATCATCATCATCATCATCATCATCATCATCATTTATTCATTAGATATGAATCTCAGTCAACTGAACATTCAAATTGGCTGGTGCCAATGCTGTAACATTGCCGGAGTTATTGCAGGAAGCTGCAGTTTCTTGATGTATTTTGCAAAGTTTTTGGACATAGTTCCCAGTGCCCCGATGACAATGGGTATCACTGTTACATGTTTCATCCGTAAGTGCACAGTTTCGATGGCCAGGTTGCGATATTTTGTAATTTTTTCCAGTTCTTTTTTTGACTCTGGCATCTCCTGGTACAGTGATATCAATCAGCTATACACTTCGGTTCTCTACAACTGCGATATCTGGTGTGTTGTGTTCCAAATGGCGATCTGTCTGTATTCAAAAGTCACCCTCTCATTCTCAACCACTTTTTCCACTCTATGTTCCCATGACTTTTCGGACACAAGCAAGTCGTATTTTTTTACACAATGCACAGTGGATTAATTTAGCAACTCAGTCATATCTAGCTTTATAATCAGTTTGTGCGATTTTGCTGCACTCTCAGATGATGATTATTATTGTGGATCATCGCAGTCAGCCAGATGTTCAGATTGGATTTGGCATTTTGTCTACCTATCGAGTCCTTACCTAGGACCTGGGATAGGCAGATGTGGATGTTTGATGGTATTACAGATATCGTCGCAGGATGGAAGCAGTTCCTAGTAAGGCCGCTTTTTGCAATTGACTAATGGCAAATTTGTCAATGCCAATGGTGTTCAAGTGGTGCTCCAGTTGTTTTGGGATTGCACCCAAGGCGCCTATTACTATTGGTACTACCCTTGCTTGCTTTTGCCACAGTCTTTCTATTTCTATGTCTTTGTATTTTGTTATCTTCTCCAGTTCTTTCTCGTCTATTCTGCTGTCTCCAGGCACTGCCACGTCCACTATCCAGACTTTTTTGTCTTTCTTATCGACAATTGTTAAGTCCGGGGTGTTATGTTGCAGGTGTCTGTTTGAATTCTGAA